AGCCTCCAGGTGGCCCCAGATGCTGGAGCTTTGGGCTCTGGTTGGCCTCCATGAGCCTGCTGCACCTCGGGAAGGCTGGCCCTCCTCCTTAGGGCACTTAGTCCTGGGTGTCTCCGTCCCAGAAGGATCTTGCCTTGCCTGAGGCACCTGTCTTCGCACACGTGTTAGCTTCACCTGTAAAGAGCTCTGTATGACATGGAAAGGAACAGAGCAAATCCCAGTGCAGATCTGGAGGGTTGGGGTCCAGGACCGCACAGTGGACAATACGTCAGTCTCTACCAGATGTGTGTCACCTGACCGCCCCAGTAGCTGATTTGCTGCCAAATGCTCTAGGTAGTAGCCTGGTAGGGATGTGTATGGCCTCCAGAGGGCCCGGCAGAATGTCGGGGAGAGAGCCCATGCCGGGTGTGGAGGAGCCCAGCTCTGCCTCCATCCCTAGAGACCAACGGCTGGTTCTCACCTCTTCCTCCAGGGCCTGTGTAAGCTCGGCTCGGCTGGAGGGACAGACTTCAGCATGAAGCAGTTTGCTGAAGGCTCCACTCTCAAACTGGCCAAGCAGTGTCGAAAGTGAGTTATTTGGTGTTGCCATGGCTCCCCACCTGTCAGCTAGGCCTCGAGAGGGTCTGGGTGGAGGATGGGGCCTCCCCACTACCCTGCTGTCCCCCAGGCAGACCCTCCTGGATCCTGCCACGTGAACTGCTTCGTGTGTAGAGGGGAAGCCCCCCAGTTCTGATGGTTGCCCACTACCCTGCATGTCCCCAGGTGGCTGTGCAATGACCAGATCGACGCAGGCACACGGCGCTGGGCGGTGGAGGGCCTGGCCTACCTCACCTTCGACGCCGACGTGAAGGAAGAGTTTGTGGAAGATGAGGCTGCCCTGAAGGCTCTGTTCCAGCTCAGCAGGGTAGCTCCATGGGTTCCTCTAGTCATTTGGGAACAGTATCTGCGATTAGAATCGACCAGGCTTTCTTGGCAGGTCTCGGGCAGTGGCTCTCATGGCCCCAGGGTGGGAGCTTTGGCAGCCTGCGTGGCCGCTCCGTAGCCTGGGCCTGCGGGGCTACACCGGCCGCGTCGGGCAGGACAGTGTTTCTGGGGGAGTTAGGGAAGTTGAGTGTGTGAGCTCCCAAGAGTCTGGGGCCAGGGTGGGCCTGGGAGCTTCCCACATTCATCCTGCTGTCCCGGTGGTGGAGCTGAGGGCAGAAGTGGAGGCCCGGGGACAGCCGCCTGACTCCCCTCTCCTGCGCGCAGTCCGAGGAGAGGTCAGTGCTCTTTGCGGTGGCCTCGGCACTGGTGAACTGCACCAACAGCTACGACTGTGAGGAGCCTGACCCCAAGATGGTGGAGCTGGCCAAGTACGCCAAGCAGCATGTGCCCGAGCAGCACCCCAAGGTGAGGGAGCCGCTGAGAGGCTTTGGGGGTCTCCGCAGCAGCCTCCCGGTTAAGCGGGTTTCTTTCCCTTTGTGTTCCCACCCATCAATTGGTGCTGTGAGGAGGGTCTCCCTCTCCCTGTCCAGTCAGCTGGGGCCCCTCTGCTAAGCTGCCTCCTTCCCAGGACAAACCGGCTTTCGTGCGGGCCCGGGTGAAGAAGCTGCTGGAGGCCGGCGTGGTGTCGGCCATGACGTGCATGGTGAAGACCGAGAGCCCCGTGCTGACCAGTGCCTGCCGGGAGCTGCTCTCCAGGTGAGCCAGACCTTGCCTGACTCGGAAGCAGGGGAGCAGGGGGGCCGCCCGCGTAGCTGCCGCCCAGAGCCCCCCACCCACCCGCACCGTCTCCCTGCAGGGTCTTCCTGGCGTTGGTGGACGAGGTAGAGGACCGTGGCACTGTGGTGGCTCAGGGCGGGGGCAAGGTAAGCTGCCTTACAGATTCCTTCCTGATGATCTATAAAGCATGATGCAGTGGCTGCCACGGCAGAGACGAGGCTGGAACACAGTATGAGGAACCTGCAGGAACGTGTTCCTGCTGAGAGAGCCATGCTGCCGGGGGCGGGTTTGTGCCCATCGAGATCCGGACTCTCCTCCTTTCTCCCGTGTCATTGGCCTGCGTGGCCCGCGGCCCAGCCCAAGCCGCAGCTGGCCCTTAGTGTTTGTGGAAGAGTTTGGGCAGCTTGAGGAGAGGCCTGGGAGAGAGGAGGAGGGTCTGGGCGGGAGTGTCGACAGGCCTGAGGGAGGAGAGAGGTGAGCGTGCCACCGTCAGGACCGGGCTGGTGGTTTGGGCCTTACCCTCCAGGGCACATCTCAGACCCTGACGGCTCGGCTCGTCCCCACAGGCTCTGCTCCCGCTGGCCCTGGAAGGCACTGACGTGGGGCAGACGAAGGCGGCCCAGGCTCTTGCCAAGCTCACCATCACCTCCAACCCGGAGATGACTTTTCCTGGCGAGCGGGTGCGTGTCCTGCTGCCCCAGCCCTGGCCTCTCCTCCACCCCTCCCTGGGCCCTGATGGCCTCTGACCCGGGCTGTGGCTCCTCCTTGGGACAGACAGGAAGCCCCGGGGTGGGGAGGGCCGCCTTCCGTCTGCAGGTGGCCTCTCACCCTCGGGTTGGTGGGGTTGGTGGGGGCTGGACGAGTGGCCCTGACAGGTGGCTCTATTACAGATCTATGAGGTGGTCCGGCCCCTTGTCTCCCTGCTGCACCTCAACTGCTCAGGCCTGCAGAACTTCGAGGCACTCATGGCTCTCACAAACCTGGCGGGGATCAGTGAGAGGCTCCGGTAAGGTCCCCAGGACAGCACTTTACAGTTTGAAGAGCACCTTTCGGTCACTGCTTGACTTGAGCCTCACAGGGGCTTCCCTGCAGCTGGGGAGACAGGCCAGGAGGTTTGACTTGTACCTCGGTCCACCAGTGCGCAAGGCCTGGGCCAGGGCCCATGCACGCTCTGGAGTCAGACCGCCTGGGTTCACGTCCTGACTTCACTGGTTGCTAGTGTGTAACCGCAAACAAGTGCTGCTCCGTGCCTCAGTTTCCCCTCTGTGGAATGGCATGGGTGTAGCACCTACCTCAGGAGTGGTAGTGAGCTTTAAATGAGAAAATACACGCAGAATCTCCGAGTACGTGGCACCTGGCTCGCTCCCAGCAGTGTGGCCAAGTGGTATGCGTCAGCTGTTACCGAGAACGGTGACATTGGGCTCCCTGTCTGCACTCAGCCTCGGTTTCTTCTTCTGCAAAACAGTAATAGTAAGCGTACCTGCACCTTCACTGTAGGGCCGTGGTGAGGATTAAGAAAGAGTTCAAGCTCTGGGTCAGGGTAAGTGCTTAAATATTAGATGTTAGCAGCACTGTCGCCAGCTCCCCGGTCTCCGAACTCCTACCTTAGAGCATTTTCCACGGTCCCATGCTACCTCCTAGGCCTGGTGAAGAAACTGGAAGCCACCGCAGCTCATACCTGGTGCAGGAGGGTCTTTGGACACTGCCCGAGAGGTCCTTGACCCGGGGCTCGAATGCATGGGGATGCGGGGGTGGGGGAAGTGGATGCAGGAGCTCTGAGGCTGCTGACCTTTCCACCCTGGCCCCGCAGGCAGAAGATCCTGAAAGAGAAGGCCGTGCCCATGATTGAGGGCTACATGTTCGAGGAGCACGAGATGATCCGCCGGGCAGCCACGGAGTGCATGTGTAACCTGGCCATGAGCAAGGAGGTGAGAGCGGGTCCGGGTGGTCCTGACGGGCAGGCGCGCAGAGGTACCTGTGCCCCGCCTGGCTTTGCCGCAGCTCACTCAGTCCCCTCCCCTCCTCTGGCCACAGGTACAGGACCTCTTTGAAGCCAAGGGCAATGACCGGCTGAAGCTGCTGGTGCTGTACAGCGGAGAGGAGGATGAGCTGCTGCGGCGGGCCGCTGCTGGGGGCCTGGCCATGCTCACCTCCATGCGGCCCTCGCTCTGCAGCCGCGTCCCCCAAGTGGTCAGTGCCTCTTCTCGGCGGGGGAGGGGACGTGGGCCTGGAACGCCCTGCATGGCGGCCGGTGGGGGGCCATCCCAGGGCACGTGGGAGTGTTCCTGCCAGGTCTGAGCCTGTCGCTCGGTGGTGATGCTGCCCTGTTTCCCGCAGACCACACACTGGCTGGAGATCCTGCAGGCCTTGCTCCTGAGCCCCAACCAGGAGCTGCAGCACCGGGGTGTGGTGGTGGCACTGAACATGGTGGAGGCCTCGAAAGAGATCGCCGGCACCCTCATGGAGAGCGAGGTGCTGGAGATCCTGTCGGTGCTGGCTAAGGGCAAGGAGAGCCCCGTCAGGAGAGCCGCTGCGGCTTGCCTGGGGAAAGCCGTGGACTACGGGCTTATCAAAGCCAACCGGGATGGAGAGTGAGGGGCTGCCTCACGCACACGCTACCTGCTGCAGCGGAGGAGTGAGGGCAGACACAGCTTTGGCTGCTGGGGGCTGGGATGCTGCACACTGGCCTCTCCTCCCTAGCTGCCCCTGATGACCTCTGCGGAACCAGGGGCCACGGTCAGTCTCGGCCCTGCTGCGCCAGCACTGCCTCCAGCCTCCCGCGGCGGGGCCTTCTGCCGTAGTGTAGCCCGCTAGGAACGGGCAGGGTGCGTCCTAAGCCGGCCGCGCGTTCCCGGCACTGGGAAGGGCACGTCAGGCAGCCGCCCCGGCAAGGAGCCTCACCCGAGCCTGCGAGCGGGAGCACGGCGGCCCTCTGAGAAAGGGAACGTGCAAGTCAGTCGTGCCCCCCGTCCAGAGGCAGGGACCTGGCTGTGCGCCGCCGAGCTACACAGCGCAGCTACCTGTACGGAAGGACTCCAGCGGGTTCCTCACCCTGGAGCCTGCTGAGCGCTTTTTAATCCTGCTGGAGGATCAGGGTAAACCTAGGCAGCTAATAAAAATCTCTTCAGTCGCGTGGGAATAAATGGCTTTAGACTCGTCGATGCTGGTCCTTCAATACTCTTGTCTCTGTACTGAGCGTTCCCAGTGGCCCCCACTGGGCAGTGCGCTGGATTTGGGGTTCGTGTGTCGTCCTGGCCTGCTCTTCCCTCACGGAAAAATCCTGTAGCTGATCCAGGGGAGGGCGAGAGCTCCACCGCCCGCCGGGGCAGAGAGCCGCGAGAACCCGCTTCCGGTCTGGGAGTCCAGGTTGAAGCTCATTGGCTCGCAGAGACGAGTGACAGGCCCCGAGCCAATGGCCTTCCGCCTAGTACGACTGCTTCCGGTTGGGCATCACACCCTCTCGTGTGGGTCGTGAGCTGCCGCCGTCCGGGGCTGAGGGGAACGGCGGGGTGCCCGTGTCGCCGCGGTCGCTCCTCGCCAGCCCTGCAGCTCGGATTCTAACCCGAGCTCCGTGCGGGCCTGCAGGGGGCGGGACCGTCCGGCCCACCTCTGCCTCGGGTCCGCGCCCACCGGAGGTTACCCCACCTCACACCCGAGGCTGCAGCGGCACAGCGCACGCCCCCGGGCCGGCTCGACAGCGCTCGGGCCGGAGAGGCCGCGGCCGGGACTGCGGGTACCGAGGTGAGCACCGCCCTGCGACCGCCCGCCCCGAGCGGTGACGTCACCGCCCTCGCCGGCGATTGGCCCGGGGAGGCTGCGGCAGCCAATGGGCGCCTGGCCCGGGGGGCGGCTCTTCAAACATTTAGTCCGCGGCGGCCGGCACCCGGGTCCTGGGCGGCTGCCGTGCATCCCCGCTCTTGCTCCCTCGAGACTGCCCGCCGGGAGGAGCTGCCCGAGGAGGGTGGAGGGCACAGGGTCAAGATCAAGGTCAGAGGCCCCCTTGGGTTAGGAGCCCAGGTCTGGGTCAAGGAGCTTTGGTCTCAGGAGGGACCCCATAGCTGACTTCAAAGCCGAACATGCTGTACGGAAAAAGCGGCGTTGTTTTTGTAACCACGGGACAGTGTATTCGCTTCCCGATTTATGTGTGAACTCTCTGGGGGCAGACAGCCGTCTTTCTCATCCGCCCAAGGGAAGGCAACAATAAATGCTTGCAGAACGAATAAATGACTAGGTGAGGTCCAGTTGAAATTGTGTTTATATAGGTCCCTTGAAAACCAGTAAGTACCACTGGACTTTCTAAAATCATCTCTAAGTCCTGGATTTGATAAGCTAGTACTTGCCTTGTGCCTGTCGTGATATGTGCCAGTACGTGAACCGTTTATTTCCATCTGTTCCGCACAGTTCTACAAGGTACGTACAGACAGCACCCTCTCCTATCCCCTGCCTTTGTAAAACTGAAGAAACTGAACTGGACTCAGAAAGCTTAAGTAAAGGGACCAAGGACACAGGCACAGCGGCAAACACGTGAACCCTGGAGTTGGTTGAACCCGCACAGGGCGCTGTCTCCCAAACGCTCTGCTTTGCCCTGGTGGGAAGAGCACTGTATGTGGAGTCGCGGGGCCTTGATTTCGGCCTCTGCCCTTCTTGGTCCTAAGTTATGTGATTGTGTAACGGTTACTTTCTCTAGGAGTCTCCTCTGTCAAATGGGGGTAATTCTGGTTCCCAAGATGACATGGGATAATGTGCCTGACACTGGGAGCCGGAGGGGCTCACATCCTAGGACAGCGTCTAAGGGAGAGGCTGCAGGGGGCGGGACCGCCCGGCTTAAATACCTGGTGCCTACTCCGTGGAGCAATGAGCTTGCTTGAGTCAAAGGGAAGGCACGGCAAGTGCCCCCATTCTGGGCAGCCCAGAATCGTCCTCAGTCTGGTGGGATTCCTAACGCTGTCCCGCCTCCCACCCCATTCAGGTGGCGGCCGGCATGGCCGAGGAGCGCCGCGGGTCCTGGTTCGGCTTCGGTTTCTGCGGCTTCGGGCAGGCGCTGGGCTCGGGGCGCGGGCGCCAGGTGCACAGCCCCGAGCCGCTGCGGACACCGGGCGCGGGCGCCGACGTCCGCCGCGTGAGCGCCAGCTGGAGCTACACCGCCGTCGTGACCCGTGAGCGCCCCCCTCCGTCCCGCTTGCGCCCCGGGCCCCGGGTGCGTGGCCCGGCCGCTCCCCAGCCCGCTCTCCGCTCTCGCAGGTGGAGGCCAGGTGCAGCTGTCGGGCGCGGCGGGCGGCGCGGCGGGCGGCTGCAGGGACGCGTGGGCCTCGGAGGCGCTCCTCGTGGTGCTGCGCGCCGGCCCGGAGCTGCAGGCCTGGGCGCCGGCTTGCGCGCTGCGCGGGGAGCCCCTGTGGACCCACACGCTGGTGCCGGAGGCCGAGGGGGCAGACGGCGCGGGCGCTGAGGCCCAGGCCGCGGCGCTGCCCCTGCTGCCCGGCGCGCGCGCCTACGTGAGTCCGCGGCCGCCCTTCTACCGGCCTCTGGCCCCGGAGCTGCGGGCGCGCCGCCTGGAGCTGGGCGCCGAGCACGCGTTGCTGCTGGACGAGGCGGGCCAGGTGTTCTCCTGGGGCCAGGGCAGGTGAGGGGGGCGTGGCCGGATGGGGGCGCGGGGCGGGGGCGGATAAACGTGGCTCCGAGTGGGGGCCCGCGCGCGTGATTGGGGAAGGAAGCGGAGGAGGACCCGCTTGCGCTCTCCCTTGCGCAGGCACGGACAGCTGGGCCACGGGACTCTGGAGGCCGAGCCGGAGCCGAGACTGCTGGAGGCGCTGCAGGGCCTTCCCATGGCCGAGGTGGCCGCCGGTGGCTGGCACTCCGTGTGTGTGAGTGGTAAGTGACATAGTGCTTCTCTGGACAAACTCAAGGTCTCCTAGGCTCCACACCTTCCTCCTCCTCTTCCAGTGTTGGTGGGTAGTCTAGCGAGGCCTCCTTCCACGTTCATCCCATATTAACCAGCCAGGTCTTTCAGGACTCCTCAGTGCCTCTCCAGGTCAGCCCTCTGCCCGGGCTATTACCCACTCGCACTGTGACTGTTGCAGATGTTTGCTGTCTTCTTCTTCTTTTTTTTTTTTTTTAAGATTTTATTTATTTATTTGACAGAGAGAGACCCAGCGAGAGCAGGAACACAAGCAGGGGGAGTGGGAGAGGGAGAAGCAGGCTTCCCGCTGAGCAGGGAGCCCGATGCCTGGCTCGATTCCAGGCCCCTGGGATCGTGACCTGAGCCGAAGGCAGACGCTTAACGACTGAGCCACCCAGGTGCCCCAGTGTTTGCTGTCTTCTGATGGTGGGCTCCCTACCTCTCCCAGGCCTCCGCCTCCAGCCAGGGCTGCGTTTCTAAAACACTCCGCAAGGGCGCAGGAAGGGGTGAGGAGGCAGCTGAGCTGAGGAGAATGGAGGAGAAAGGGTGCAGGGCGTCAGGTGGCCATGACGTGTGGCACACAGACACGCAGATGTCCACAGGGAGGATGATGGTGGTGAGGGTGAGCCCAGAATGAGGACCTTCGTTTGGGATCGTAAGTCCACCGCCCTGGCAGGCCACCCAGCTGTAGCTGATTGCTAGGCTGTTGGGTGAGGCTGGGAGCAGGCGGTCTTTGCAAGGGTCTGCACCTGGGGCTCTGGCGGCCGCTTCTGTCCCCGGGGGTGGGGGGGCAGCTTTAAAAACGTCGTGTGCCTGCACCCCCACCCCCACAGTCTCCTGTCAGGGGTCTGGCGTGGCAGCCACGCGTGGAAACTACTGGACCGGAGGGACGGGAAGAGAAGACTAGAAACAGCCAGATGGGAAGTCCCCCACTTCGGGTTGCTAGAAATTTGAGGTCTTAAGTTTGTTAGAGTTGGAGCACAGATGCTTCAGGCCGGACTTGTTAGGTTCAGATCATCACTTTGCCCCTGTGACCTTGGGCAGAGCACTTCACCTCTTCGCGTCCCCTGTTTTCTCACGAATAAAACAGGGATGTTGTCCTATAACCCTCCGTAGGGCTCTTCTGATAATTAAATGATCATATTTGAAAAGTGCTTAAAATTCTGGCACAAAGTAAACATTTGATAAAAATGAGCTGCTGTCATTAGTGAATTTTTACATGAGAGGAAAGGAAGGTGAGGGCTTCCAGAAGAGGCCTTCACTGGGACCAGTGGTGGGTGGGGCTGAGGAAAGGGGTGTCGTGGGCTCAGTGGGTTTGAAACGGAGGCCGTTGGGAATTTCCAGGGATACATTTCTGAAGTGTGTGTGGTGACGTGTTGCGTGAAAGTTAAGTTTATGCGAAGCAATCTCCAAAGGAGTTCTAGACCAAAGAAAAAGGTCCACAAGTCCAGCTTGACAAGAAACGGTTTACTAAAGGAGCTTCCGGACTCGTCTTGGGCGGCTGCAACGCAGCTGTGACCGCTGCCCCCTCCTGTCAGACCTGCTTTTATAGCCCTAGAGGCTGGGAGCCCGTGCTGGGCGAACACCCAGGAGGAGAATGTTCGAGAATAATTCTGTGTCTGTTCCCTCTCCAGAGCAGATCCAAGGACCTTATGCCCCAAGGGTGTTCTTAGGGTCTATTATGTGTGTTACTTAAAAAAAGAAAGTGTGCCTGGGGGCTGTTCTCAAGGAGGCTTCCTTCAGGTCTCCGAACTGTCGTCATGGCAGCGTTGTGCAAGATGGCGCTCGGCCGGTTCACGCGTGGAAGGTGGGCCGGGGGCAATTTAGCAACAAAGGGAAAAAGTGAAACTGGAGAGGAAGATCCAGGAGACCCTGTTTAAAGAAAAGGACGGGGGCTCCTGGGTGGCTCAGTTGGTTAAGTGACTGCCTTCGGCTCAGGTCATGATCCCAGGATCCTGGGATCGAGCCCCACATCGAACCCTGCATCGGGCTCCCTGCTCGGCTGGAAGCCTGCTTCTCCCTCTCCCACTCTCCCTGCTTGTGTTCCCTCTCACACTGTCTCTTTCTCTCTCTCTGTCAAATAAATAAATAAAATCTTTAAAAAAAAAAAAAAGCCGGAAGCACTTGAGGGGGAAGGGAGCCTGTAAGACCAGGAAGCTGGGGCACCTGGGTGGCTCAGTGGGTTGAGCGTTTGCCTTCGGCTCGGGTCATGATCCCGGTGACCTGGGATCGAGCCTCGCATTGGGCTCCCTGCTCGGCGGGAGGCCTGCTTCTTCCTCTTCCTCTCCCTCTGCTGGTCTCCCTGCTTGTACTCTCTCTCTGTCTCTCTGTCAAATAAATAAATAATTTAAAAAAAAAAAAAAAAGACCAGGAAGCTGCTGGGGCCTGTGGGAGGCACTGGCCAGAGGGCTGCCTGGGCGGGGCAGCATTAGTGGGTAATGCGGGCGTTTGGACGGATTCAGGGGCCTTAGGAGGGTGAGGGTGCGATTCACAGTCTGTTTAATGGGTCCCCTGCATCTCTTTTTCAGAGACTGGGGATATTTATATCTGGGGCTGGAATGAGTCCGGGCAGCTGGCCTTGCCCACCAGGAGCCTGGCAGAGGATGGAAAGACAGTTGCAAGGGAAGGTGAGGGTCAGTTCTTCCACGCATGCTTCTGTCCTTCCTGACTCCTGGCCACATGCTGGCCTGAGACCTTGTAGTGCTCAGAAGGGACACGGGACATCCTTGGGACCCCAGGACCCTCTGTAGGACTCCGGGCTCTGGGGAGGGATGGGGGTATGGCAGGGCTGATGCCTGCCTCCTCAGCGCACTCCCCCTGACCTGTCAACTCCAGCGCTTCTGGGGAACGCGGGGTCTGGGAGAGGCAGCCGTGGTGTCGATGGCAGGGGCCTCTTGGAGCTGTCGTGCCGCCTGAGGTCCTGGATGGCTAAGGTGTAGCCAGTGCTCCACGTTACCGGTCACGATCCTCCTCACTCTCTCTTGCTGCTTCTTTGAAGCCAGCGGACTGAATGAAGGTGGCCCCAGCGGGGGTGAGGACGGAGCCCCGGCCCCCTTCATAGCCCTCCAGCCCTTCCCAGCTTTACTGGATCTCCCTGGGGGCGCAGATGCAGTCAAGGCCAGCTGTGGCTCCCGGCACACAGCCGTGGTGACAAGTGAGTGGGGCTGGGCGGGCGGCTGACGATGGAGCAGGAAGGCCTCCACCCCATCCCTTAGCTGGTGCTGCAGACAAGGCTGTGATCCCCTTAAAAACTTCGACTTTGAGTGTCTCTGACAAGTACTGAGTAGCCACCTCCCTCAGCGAAAATAGCCCCAACCCCCATGGGGCTTTAACGGTAGCCCCCCAGCTGTCAGGCCGCGAAGGCCCCTCCTTCTGGAAGGACGCTAGTGTTTGCCGGCCGCTTGGTCCGAGCGGTCCAGGTGCTAAGCCTCCTGAACTCGGTAGCTGTGAGAGCCCGGCTGACCAGTTGGCGTCCAGGAAGGTAAACTTCTTCCACCTGGATCCTCTCCCGCCCCGGGTGTGATTAGACAGTTGTTAGAGAATATGCTGTGCTATGCCAGGCAGAGCTCAGGACACTTAGAAGGTGCTGGCTCTGGACCGTGTCAGGTCATGCTAGACAAATGCCTGTGACACCCCCTTACTGTCCTTCTGGTTGTAGGAACTGGCGAGCTGTACACCTGGGGCTGGGGTAAGTAAAAGGTTTGTTTGTGTGATGCTTAAACCAGGGGAGGAAGGGGCCCGGGGGCAGAGGGCAGGAGACGACAACCATGCGGCAGGCGGAAGCAGGGGCCTCGGCCTGACCCCTGGGAAGTCTGGGACGGAAATGCTGCATATTCCCTTGCCTAGAACAGATCTAAGCGCACTGGAGTCAGAGACCACATGGGAGAGTAGTAGATATTGGTACTTCCCGTGTATCTTTCTGAAAAATTGTCTTGAGGGAAGAGTTAGGCAGCATTTATGACACCTCTCTTGGTCTGGCATTGGGGTCTGGGGTTAGGAGCAGAGAACCTGGAAGAGCATCTTGCCTGGTGTGGCTGGTGGCAGCTGCCTCTTGGGGACCTGGGGGGCAGCGTGGCCCCGAAGGCTCTGTGGCGCTGGCCTCCTGAATTTCCAGAGCAGACACCAGCGGAGTGGTGGCTCAAGCCCTGCACACTTTGGTTGATGGGCTGATTTTCCTTCCTGGAGGGGACAAGCCCCAAGGCCCAGGGGGGAGGATGGCCAAGCGGCTCATTTCCCTTTAGGTAAATATGGACAGCTTGGCCACAAGGACACGACCAGCTTGGATCGGCCCCGCCGTGTGGAATATTTTGTAGATAAGCAGCTCCAAGTCAGGGCCGTGAGCTGTGGGCTCTGGAACACGTACGTGTGTGCTGTGGAGAGAGGGGAGAGCTGACAGCCACGGGTAAGGGCGTGAAATGAATGTATAGTTAATGATCCAGTCACACCAGTGAACCTCACCCCAGCCAAGGAAACCATTGCCGGCACCCCAGAGGCCCCGCGTCTGCCCTCACCGCAGAGCCGCGTCGTCAACTTTGTCCTCGTGTTGGTGACACCTCCGGAGCTCTGGAAGGGCATGCCCAAGGCCCGCACTGCAGACACAGTGAAATCCGAACCTCTGGGCGCGGAGCCTGGAGGGGGTAGATTTCAAAGCTCCCCCAGCCAACCCAAGGTGATTTGAGATCGTGCCAAGATTGGGGACCGGCAGGGGTCATCTTGGTCATCTTTCCTTACCTATTTTCACTTAGAGTTGTATCACCCTTGTATGCATCCTTGGTCAATAGAGTTTAGTTTGTTTGCTTTGAACTTTATGTAAATGAAGTCATTTTGGATATGTTCCTTTGTGTCTTGTTTGTTATCCATCTGCCTTGTGCCCTGAAGTTCATTCATGTTTATTGTTAACGGTATTCCATCCTGTGAATACACCTCCTTATATATTCTTTTGTTGGTCATTTTTTCTTTTATTGAGTTAAAATACACATAAAAATATATTATCCTAACCATTTTTTTCCCCAAGATTTTATTTATTTATTTGACAGAGACACAGTGAGAGAGGGAACACAAGCAAGGGGAGTGGGAGAGGGAGAGGCAGGCCTCCCGCTGAGCAGGGAGCCCAATGCGGGGCTCGATCCCAGGACCCCGGGATCATGACCTGAGCTGAAGGCAGACGCCTAACGACTGAGCCACCCAGGCACCCCTGTCTTTTTTTTTTTTTTTTTTAAGATTTTATTCATTTGACAGAGAGAGACACAGTGAGAGAGGGAACACAAGCAGGGGGAGTGGGAGAGGGAGAAGCAGGCTTCCTGTGGATCAGGGAGCCCGATGCGGGGCTCGATCCCAGGACCCTGGGACCATGACCTGAGCCGAAGGCAGACGCTTGACGACTGAGCCACCCAGGCGTACCTACCCATTCATCTATTGATGGACACTTGGGCTGCTTCCATAATTGGCTATTGTAAATAACGCTGCTATACACATAGGGATGCATGTATCCCTTTAAATTCATGTTTTTGTATTTTTTGGGTAAACACTCAGTAGGGTAATTCTATTTTTAACTTTTTGAGGATGGTCTGTTTTCCACAGTGGCTGCACCAGTGGAGGGTTCCTCTTTTGCCACATCCTTGCCAACACTTGATATTTGTCTTCGATTCTAGCCATTCTGACGGTGTGAGGTGATCTCTCATTGTGTTACGATTTGCGTTTCCCTGATGATGAGTGAAGTGGAGCATCTTTTCGTGTGTCTGTTGGTCATCTGCATGTCTTCTTTGGAGGTAGGCTGCCTTTTAGTTGGTTGTTTCCTTCACTGTGCGGAAGCTTTTTATTTTGATGAAGTCCTGATAGTTTATTTTTGCTTTTATTTCCCTCGTCTCAGGAGACGTATCTAGAAAAGTGTTGCTGCCGTGTGAGAGAGATGACTGCCTGTACTCCCTTCTGGGAGTTTTATGGTTTCAGGGCTCACACTTAGGCCTTTAATCCATTTTGAGTTTATTTTTGTGTGTGGTGAAAGCAAGTGGTCCAGTTTTTTGTTTGGGGGTTTTGGGGTTTTTTTTTGCGTGTGGCTGTCCAGTTTTCCTAACACCATTTGTTGATGAGACTGTCTTTTTCCCATTGGATATTCTTTCCTGCTTTGTCAAAGATTAATTGACCATATAATTGTAGGTTTGTTTCTGGGTTTTCTATTCTGTTCCACTGATCTATGTGTCTATTTTTATGCCAGTACCATACTGTTGATTACTACAGCTTCATAATATAACTTGAAGTCTGGAATTGTGATACCTCTGGTCTTGTTTTTGCTTCTCAAAATTGCTTTGGCTGTTCAGGATCTTTTGTGGTCCCATGCAAACTTTAGGCTTATTCTAGTTCTATGAAAAATGCTGTTGGTATTTTGATAGGGACTGCTCTGTATGTTATCTTTAAGACTTAATTTGTGGCCTAATATGTGGTCTGTTGTGGGGAGTGTCCCATGTGCACCTGAGAAGAATGTATGTGCTGCTCTTGGCTGGAGTGTTGTGCATATGTCTGTCAGATCCAGTTAGTTTACTGTGTGATGCACGTCCTCTGTTTCCTTCTGTCTGGTTGTTCTGTCCGTTATTGTGAGTGGGATGTTGAAGTCTCCCAACTGTTACTGCAGAACTGGTTTCTCCCAGGATCATAGGGGAAGAGAGGAAAAAATGAAACAAGACGAAACCAGAAGGGAGACAAACCGTAAGAGACTCTTAATCTCAGGAAACAAACCGAGGGCTGCTGGAGGGGAGGAGGCTGGGGGATGGGGTAATGGGTGATGGACACTGCGGAGGGTATGTGTTGTAATGAGCACTGGGTGTTATGTAAGACTGATGAATCACAGACCTGTACCCCTGAAACAAATAATACATTATATGTTAATAAAAAAACTTGTTTCTCCCTTCAATTCTGCTAGTTTTTGCTTCACATATTTTAATGGTCATTAGGTGTGTAAATGCTGATAATTTTTATATTTTCTTGCTGTATGGAGCCTTTTATTAATATGTAATGTTCTTTTTTGAGTCATGTACCTTTTTTGATTGAAAGTCTATTTTGTCTGATATTAGTGTAGCTCCTACTCTCTTTTGATGTCTGTTTGCTTGGAATATCTCTTTACATCTTTTCACTTTCAGCCTGCGTATGTCTTGGATCTTAAGTGAGCCTCTTGTAGGCAGCATACAGTTGTACATGTGTTTTTAGCCATTATGCCAATTGCGGTCTTTTTTATTTTATTTTTTTAAAGATTTTTTAAAAATTTATTTATTTGAGAGAGAGCATGAGAGAGAGAGAGCACATGAGAGTGGGGAGGGCCAGAGGGAGAAGCAGACTCCCTGCCGAGCAGGGAGCCCGATGCGGGACTCGATCCCGGGACTCCAGGATCATGACCTGAGCCGAAGGCAGTTGCTGAACCAACTGAGCCACCCAGGCGCCCAATTGCTGTCTTTTTAAAAAAATATTTTATTTATTGGGGCGCCTGGGTGGCTCAGTCGTTAAGCGTCTGCCTTCGGCTCAGGTCATGATCTCAGGTCCTGGGATCGAGCCCCACATTGGGCTCCCTGCTCAGCGGGAAGCCTGCCTCTCCCTCTCCCACTCCCCCTGCTTGTGTTCCCGCTCTCGCTGTGTCTCTCTCTGTCAAATAAATAAATTAAAAAAAAAATTTTTTATTTATTTGAGAGAGAAAGAAAGCCCGAGCAGGGGGGAGGGACAGAGGGAGAAGCAGGCTCCCTGCTGAGCAGGGAGGCCAAAGTGGGATTCGATTCCAGGACCCTGAGATCATGACCAGAGCCAAGGCACACGCTTAACCAGCTGAGTCCCCCAGACGCCCCCCAATCGCTGTCTTTTGATTGGAGAATTAAACCCATTTCCATTTAAACTAATTACTGATGAGGAGGGACTGACTTCTGTCATCATGCTATTTGTTTTCTCTACATACTGTCACTTTTTGGTCCCTTATTTCCTGCATTTCTTCTTTTGTGTTTAGGGTGATTTTTTTTTTTTGCAGTGAAATGTTTAAATCTCTTTGTGTCCTTTTGTGCAACCTCATAGCTATTTCTTTTGTGGCTGCTGCAGGGATTACATTTAATATCAAAATTGTAACATTCTAATTTGAATTTATAGCAACTTATCTTTAATAACCTGGAAAAACTCTCTCCTCTATATAGCTCTGCCCCCACCCCTTTGTTGTTGATGTCCTAAAATTACAGAACATGAACTAATAATTCTTTTAAATGCATTAGTCTCCCAAATCATGTAGAAAATAAGATTTGGAGTTAACAAACCAAAGGTACAGTGAAACTACCTTTTACATTAATAATTGTTTTTCTTTGAATGAATTAGTTTAAGTCACATGGACAACAAAAAGTACAGTTACAAGCCAGTTGTACAATAAGAGATTTTATAATTGCCAATGTATTTACCTTTATTGAGGTCTTCATTTCTCCCTATGGTTTCACGTTACTTGATCTTGTTGAGGATGCTTTGTATGTGATGATTCGCTTCTCTCTTGCTGCTTTTAAGTTTTGCTCTTTGTCTTTTGAAAATTTGTGATGTGTCTTAATATGGGTCTGAGTTCATCTTACTTGGGAGTTCATTGAGCTTCTGGGATGTTTATAGTCATGTCTTTCTTCAAATTCGGGAAGTCTTCAGCCATTATTTCTTCAAATGCTCTCTTTGCCCCTTTCTCTCTCCTCTTTCCGGGACTCCCATGATGTAGGTGTTGGCCTTGAGTTGATGTCCTAGAGGTCTGTTAGGCTCTGTTCGCTTTTGCTCAGTCCTTTTTTCTTTCTGCTCGTCAGTCTCAATCATCCCCATTGTCCTGTCTTCAGTATCTGATTCTTTCCTCTGCCTGCTCAACTCTGCCTTTGACTCCCTCTGGTGAGGTTTTAATTTGAGAACTATACTTCGCAGCTCCAGAATGTCTTTTTAGGTTTTCCATCTCCTTAATATTTCCGTCTTGTTCACACGCTTTCTTGACTTTCTCCACATCTTCCTTTAGCTCTTTAAGCATGTTTAAGACCATTGTTTGAAAGCCTTTGTCAAACATGTCTGCCATTAAGCTTTTCAGGGACAGATCCTTTATTTTTTTCTTTGAATTGGCATACTTTCCTGTTTCTCTGTAAACCTTTTGACATTTGTTGAACAGGGGACATTTGAATCCAGTAATGTGGTAACTCTGGAAATTGGATTCTCCCCTCTTTCCAAGGATTGCTGTTTTTTGTTATTTTTTTTCTTATTGTAAGCTGTCTCTGTACCAAGAGTCAGCCTGAGGTGTAAACTTTGTCTTCTTATGTCTTTTCTAAGCCTTTCCTTGGGCATACACAATCCCTTTCTAATTTTCCCCACATATGCAGAAGTTTTGGAATGCGCTAGTCTTTTTTTTTTTTTTTTTTTTAGATTTATTTATTATTAGGGAGCATGTGTGTGCAGCATTGAGGGGAGGGGCAGAGAGAGAGAGAGAGAGAGGGAGAGAAAATCTCAAGCTGACTCCCTGCTGAATGTGGAGCCCATTGCAGGGCTTGGTCTCACAACCCTGAAATCACGACCTGAGCAGAAATCAGAGTCGGACATTCAACTGACTGCATCACCCAGATGCCCCCAATGTGCCGGTCTTTAATGTGTGGTTCCTTCTAAAAGGTGAAAAGTGAAAAATGAAGGGGGAACCAAAAGGCACCGGCCCTTCAAATCTCCTGGAAGTCGCTTGAACCAGAGTGGGGACAGACCTGCAACGATGCGCGGAGGTACCGCAACCCTGGCCGCCTGCCTTTCCGCACCCCCGTGATCAGAAGCAGCACCCAGAACACAGAGCCCTGCTTTTGGAGGACAGGTTCCTTTTGCCCACCCTGACTCTTAGAACTGTGTGGCGGCTGCTTGGGGAATATTTGGACAGCTGCTGCCAGGTGGCGGGGCGGCGGGGGGTGGCCGCCACTGTGCGGAGCTGAAACTGCCCAAAGTTCATCACAGTTTTTACCATCCACGCCTCCCCCTGCAAGTGGCAAGCCTTCAGCAATCTCGGGTTCCAGAACAGTTACACCAAACCGATTCTGCCAGCGCCATCGTCGTCTAGGTGTGGAGACGGGTACTTCCTTCTCTGCCTTTTCCCAGAATCCTCTCCGATGGTCATTTTTGTTTCTGATTGTTGGTCACCAGCCTCGTGCACATGTGTCCAGGTTCATCTGCAGAATATTCAGAGTAGAACTGGCGGCCGAGGTATCTTTACCAGAACACTGTGTAGCCCCACCAGCAGCGTGGGGTTCGTAGCGGCTCAAACACCAGGCGGACATGCGGCGGTTTCCGTTTGTGTTTCCCCCAGTACTAGGGAGGTTGGGCAGCCTTTCATTTATTTATTGGCCATTTGGAGTTTTTCTGTTTTAAATGCCTGTTTCCGTTTTCTGCCCTTTTAAATTTTTCTGTAAAGTCCCTTAATGGTTACATGTTGAGAATGTTTTCTGCCATGTTGGTTTTTCAGTCTGTGTGGTATCTTTTGGTGTTAACCAGTTTGTGTTAAATGTTACTCTGTGCCAAGTAATGCTCAGAGTGTTTTACAGATAACAAACAACAACTTTTGATCAATAAAAGTGCTTAATATCAACTTTATCAGCATTTCCCTTTATGGTTAATTGGTGTATGTACACATATTTGACTTAGAAATTATTCCTGACTGTGGTGTCTTTAAGATACCTTTTTTTTTTTAAGATTTTATTTATTTATTTGACACAGAGAGAGGGAGTGAGCAAGCACAAGCAGGGGGAGCAACAGAGGCCGAGAGAGAGGCAAGCTCCCCACTGAGCAGGGAGCCCGATGCAGGGGTGGATCCCAGGACCCTGGGATCACGACCTGAGCTGAAGGCAGATGCTTAATGACTGAGCCACCCAGGCGCCCCTTTTTTTTCTTGTGGTAAAATATACTTAACATAAAAGTTACCATTTAGCCGTTTTTAAGTGTATAGTTCAGTGGTATTAGGTACATTCCCATTGTTGTGCAACCAGCACCATCCACCTCCAGGACTTTTTAAAAATTCTCTACTGAAATTCTATACCCATTAAACACTAAGTCCTTAAGCCCCGCACACCCACCCCCAGCTTCCGTCATTCTACCATCTGCCTCATTTTGATCTTTTTTCAAGCAGCTAGCCATTATGTCCACACCCATATGCCACCATTATCTTGTACCTAGGTTCTATATGTATTTGAGTCTATTTCTAGACTTTCTGTTCTGATCTGGTCCGTACCACATTGCATCATAGAAGCTCTGTAGGATATTTTGTTTTGATAGGGCTTGCACCCCTCCCCTCCTGTAGTCCAGTTGTTTCCTTTTATGTTTTGGGAGTTTTTAAAATATATTCTGGGGGCGCCTGGGTGGCTCAGTCATTGGGCGTCTGCCTTCGGCTCAGGTCATGATCCCAGGGTCCTGGGATCGAGCCCCACATTGGGCTCCCTGCTCGGCGGGAAGCCTGCTTCTCCCTCTCCCACTCCCCCTGCTTGTGTTCCCTCTCTCGCTGTGTCTTTCTCTGTCAAATAAATAAATAAAATCTTTAAAAAAAATAAAATAAAATATATTCTGGATACGTGTCTTTCATCAGATACATGACTTGCAAATATTTTCTCCTAGTTGGTGATTTGTCTCTTCAGTCTCTTGGCAGTATCTCGTGCAAAGCAAGTCTTAAAAATGACTCAAGTCCAACTCGCCATTTTTTTTCTTTTATGGATGTTTTTGATGTCCTAACTAAGAATTCTGCCTAACCAAACACCATGAGTGTTTTCTGTTCTAAAAGAAACATTGGTTTAGATTTTAATGTTTAGATCTTTGATCTAAGTTTTGCCTTATAAGGAGTGAGGCATAGGTAGAGCTTTGTTTGGCATGTGAATATCTAATTATTCAACACCATCTGTTGAAAATACTATCCTGTCTTGCCTTTGCACCTTCTTCAGGAACCATTTGACTACATTTGTGTGGGTCTTTATAGACTCACTGTTCTGTTCACTGACCCGTTTCTGTCCTTTCACCAATAAATGCCACCTTGTCTTGATTGCAATAGCTATATAACTAGCCTCAAATTAGATAGGGTGAGTCCTCTAAGTTGGTTCTTTTAAAAAATTCTTAGGCTATTCTAGTTTGTGTTTCCATATAATGTATGTTAATGTATCTATCTACCAAAAATATTCTGCTGGGACTTTGAATGGAACTACATTAGATCTATAGATCATTTGGGGGAGAACAGATATTTCACTATGTTGAGTCTTCCAATCCAAGAGTATAGTATATGTGTTTAGGCTTTATCTCTTCCGTCAGTATTCTACAGTTTTCAGCAGATACTGATATGTGTT